CTTCAGTGATTTTTACCCATATTCCTTTCGGTCCAGTCGCGTAGGCTTGAGCCGGTCGACGACAACGTTTTTTGAATTGACTGTATGAGAAAGAGAGTAAGATATCCCAAATGCGAAATGTGAAATTGACCACTATTAGCTTAGCCAATCAGGAAGCACGATTTTCGCTTGTTCACTTGCTTGTTTATTCGCCATTCCAGAAGTTCATAACTAAGTTATTATGGACTTCAGGCCATTCTTATTCTATAATTATATATATATATATTAGCATTAGTTGTTTGGATAGCAGATTWAAAAAACTTTTTAAAAGGAATAGAATGTTCTTCGATCAAACGTTTTTATCACTTATTGCGATTTTGGCGGCGACTTGGGAGAAAATACATTAAACTATTATTGGATGAGGTTGGATGATCGAAATTTCAAGTTTATTCAAATAATGTACATTGCAAATATACACTACTGACCTGTATTATTGGCCGAAGCCGTAGGCTGATCGAGGCTGATAACATTTGCCCTAGTCATTGTTAATTCCGGAATATCATCCAAACAAATCATCCATCAAATAAATCAACATATAATACAAAGATAGAAACTTCATAATACATTTTATTTCAAATAAAGTTTCAAAGTACATAAACAAAAACCTACAGATAACCGCCATCCGCTGACCAATGCAGGCTCGTATTGGAAAATATCTGCTGTCTATAGAGGTTTTGCACAATCGCGTGTCGGCGCCCATAATACAGCTTGGACTGCCTGTGGTTAGATGGCAGAACAATAAAATCCCTTTCCTCTTGGGAATTGACTTCTTTCTCATATAAAACGATTKTATTGTTCCTGCCATCTAACATGGCTGCCGTCACATGACGGTGCAAAATCTCTATTGATGGTTTTCAACCATTCCCTAGAGAATTAAATAACAAAAGACACGGCGGCCATGTTGGAGGATATAACAAAAGAATTCATTGACAATTTGACATGGCCGTCGTGAAAACCATCAATAGATAAGCATGCTCTATAGATAACATTGTTCATTGTAATTACCTTAATTTATATTAATTTTACTTTAGCTTTACATAGGCAGCCCAAAAATATAAGCCTTCATATCCATTGTATTACAAATGTATTGTAATTATCTTTCATATTCCTTTTTATACAAGCTTTTCTCAATATGTAATCTCTTGGATGAAATAATAATTAATATGATTGATTGATTGATTAATTGATAACTATATACCGCTAAAGAATCACTGCGGGTGCACGCTGATAGCTAGAATTATCTGTAGGTTTTCGACCAATGAGAAGAGTACATTTTCAAGTTTACGAAACCGAAGTAAGCTAATTTTTTAAGGATCGTATTCAAAGTTTACTGGGATACATTTATCATTATACTGGGTTTGTAACACAAATCGTCAATAAAAAAATAACTGATTTTACAACTTGTTTGTCATTCATACAATTTCTAAATTTTTTTTTTTCGAAGCGAAGCTCGAAATAAAACGAACTTTCTACGATATTTTTCACTCACCTTTGGCAAAAACTGCAATATAGCTTGTAACTAGTCCCTTATCCTTGTACCGCATCGCCAGGGAATAATTTGTGTCGTAAAAGTCGTAAAAGAGGATAATATGATTTTTTCTATCAGAGATGTTGACATTCCAATCCAATGTAAACCGTTGCACTCAGACTCCAGACGACGCTACCAAATAAGCTATTTTCGCCGTCAATCAAATACTATCAAGGCTGGTTCACACTGGCGTCGTCGTTAGCGTCGGAGTTGGAATCGGAGGCGCAAGAAGCTTAGGCCTTGGCTAAACGAGGAAACATTTTTACCGCGCGCATGCTTCTTCGATTTTTCCCAGTTTAGCCACATGCGAAACATTGCTGCGTGCAACAAATTTTGCGTCCAAGACGCAAAAACTGTTTTTTCTGTAGCGCAGAAACATTACATGTTTCTAAGACGCATGGAAACATTGTTTTCCGATGTTTCCTGACCGTTTTGCCACCTTAGGAAACATTTAGGGAAACATGTTTCCTCGTTTAGCCAGGGCCTAAGGAAACATTTAGTTTAGTTTAGTTTAGTTTATTGGAATTTGCCACAAACATAATACAATTAAATACACAACATACAAAGCTAAGGGCGGCCGGAGAAAAAAACAGGGCGATAGCCCCAATTGAAATTCAACTTCTTACGTTAATTAAGAAAATATAAAATATGTCTGTTTAAGGCCCAGGTAAAACGCCGCACCCCACATGAGCCGAACCCAAAGCGGAACGTACAGTCCCAAAAATAATGCTTTTCGGTTCAACCTGCCGTGAAGCATGGTGCCTGACCCGGGCCTAAAACTTAAGAATACTTATATAAACAAACTTATGGACTATTACATGAGCATCACACTATGGCGGTCTGTAAGTACTAAGCTAGTTTTGTAGTGCTCAAAAAGTAGACTTTTGAATTGTGAAACAGTTGATACATATTTAAAGGAATGTGGGAGGTTATTCCATAACTTAACCGATCTAGGAAAATAGGAGTTAGTAAAATAATTCTGAGAGTGTTTAAAATGAAAACGGAAGTTGGCGGGATCGTATTTACGAGTAGCATAACTACTTGTTTGAGGAAGAAAAAAGCGTTCAAAATTAGCGGAAATGAGCCCAACCTTAAATTTAAACAAGAGTACTAAGTCATGTATATCTCTGCGGAATTCTAGAGGAAGTAAGTTTAGCTGTATCAGCCTGTCTATGTACGTTACTTCTTTTACTGGATAATTAAGTTAATTTAGGGAAGCATGTTTCTGGAAATATGTTTCCTCGTTTAGCCAGGGCCTAAGGAAACATTTAGGGAAACATGTTTCTGGAAACATGTCTCCTCGTTTAGCCAGGGCCTTACGATCTAGTGTGAATCAAAACAACGCAAAATAAATAAGTATTTTTGGCGTATATAGACGGGGAAACTGAAAAAATCAAACCAGCACATAGCAGAACAGATAATTAACAGTTTAAACAGTTTCTAACGGCTAAAATAACACCAATATTTGCCCTAGCGCCCTTGCTCAGGATTAACTCGCGAAATGAGAATCATTGTTATAACTATGCCGATTTAAGCCAGAAAGACGAAAAATAACACGTCGGCGAATAAAATGTACTCATGAATTATAGAATAAGTTTGATTCATCACACACAGCATGAAATACTTAGTTTGTAGGCATATTTATAATACTTTTTTACCCAAAAAAAGCACCCACTGAAATTGTTTGTCATTTCCTATTATCTTCACTCCTGTGTATTGTCGACATCAGTCAGTAGCATTTGCTCGCCTGCGCCATGCACTTGTCGTGTTTCATCCTTTTCGGGATTTTTCTTCACAACAATTTTCCTACAGAAAGTAAAAAAGTTAC